TATATATATATATATATATATATATATATATATATATGCGCCTATCGTTTCTCAAGTCACTTGAGATAACTTTATCTTCGGCCACTAGATCATAACCGTACAAAAATGGATCAATGGTGATAAAAGAAAAGAGAAAAAAAAGGAAATCATAACCATTCAAAAATGAATAAATTAATACAAGAAAATAAATAAACAAAACAACATAATTTTGGGGTGACCGGAGATAAATATATCTCAAGCAGGGGTGTTCATCAACCGATCCAAATCGATTCAAACCGCAGTGATCGAACCGAAAAACCGATAATCGAATAAATCGAAAACCGAAAAATCAAAAATTCGAAAACAAAAACCGCAAATTTTAATTGGATTGGATGATGAAAACTGATCCAATCCAAACTGATCCAATATATTAATTCTCCTCTACCTACTTGAGTTTTTCCCCAATCACAGCCCAAAAATTTCTAAACTCAAAACCCATTAACCCATCAACTAAACCCAAGAAAAAACCTAGTCATATCATATCTTATTGCCAAAAAAAAATATATTATTATTTACTTATGCTTTTGTATTTCAATTTTTTTTTTACAAAGCCAATATATACAAAAAATGTTATTTGCACAATAATCATGAAACAAATTTTAGAATTTTCAAACAATCAAAAATCGATTCAATCCAAACCGAAAAAAATTGGAATGGATCGGATCGAATTTGAAAAAAAATCTAAACCAAATGGATGATTATATGAACAAATCGGAGGGATTGTATTAGATGATTTTTGTTTCCAAAACCGATCCAATCCAGACCGCGAACATCCCTAATCTCAAGTGACTTGAAAAATATATTTCTCTCTCTATATATATTCTCTATATATATATAATAAAAATAAGATGATGAAAATATGTATTAAAAAAAGAAAATATTGGTTTACCAAAAAATAGATATTGTACAATTTTTTTTATACCGTGCCAAATTTTTTAATACATATTTTCATCATCTTTTATATATATATATATATATATATATATATATATATATATATATATATATATATATATATATATATATTTCAAAAATGGGTCGCGGATATGATCCAAATTGATACGCATTTTCAATTGCCGCGACAAATACCAAATAAATTCATTTAAATCTAAAGCAAACACACTATAACGTGCCCTACATGTACAAATGCTTGTTTTCTTTTCTTATCTTCATAATTAATAGTATTCGCTGATTAATGTGTACATGAGAAAAAGATTTGCAAAAAAAGAAACAGATCTTGCATGATGTGCCTACGATCACATATAATGGGTTATGCAGAAGAACAACTTGAGAAGATGAAGAAGATAAACAAACAAAAATAAAAGAAATATAACCCCCAAGGGTAGCTCAGTTGGCAGCTGAGCTCCCAAGGGATTGCTTAGTGCAAGAATCAAACCCTGCCTCAAGCAGTTTCTTGGAAAATCTTTGGGGGCCAGAGAATAAGCCAAAAATCTTCGATTAAGGGATTAGTCAATGAGGGGCTAGCCCAAACGGGCCGTACCCCGAGAGCATGCTGCCTAGAGAAGGTTGAATGGGAATACCTCCTGGCAATGTACCAAAAAAAAATAAAAATAAAGATAATAATAAATATTAACTAATTATACACAAACCTAGGAGGTTTTTTAAACTCATTTTTTGTATACCCAAAAAATTAACTAATCCTAATAAAGATAATAATAAATATTATTAATAGATTTAACAATATCCTATGCAAAAAATAGTGATATTATTAATAGGCTTAACCATTACCCATGCATAAGTGGTGGCATATAAATATCGTTGTCTGCCACCAATCTCTTTCCAACTCTTTTCCCACCTATGTAGTTTAAAATTTGAATTTTAAAAGTTATTAAGAACCTTGAGGTCACCATCCCAAAAGCTAGCTCAAAGGATGGGAGTGCCCAATGCCTTATAAACTCCACATTAGTTGCACATACAACCAATGTGGGACTATATATCTCAACAAGTGTGAACACAAAATTAAAATTGAAGTAGAGAATGACACATCACCAAAATTTCGATGAGTGGGATGAAGATTTTATATATTAAGAAGAGAAAAAAAAAAAAAAAAGTCTGAAGATCAATATTCAGTGAATCAATTGAAAGAGAGTATAGTGGCAGGAACACTCATTCTCTAGCTCACTATCCAATAGCTCATTGGCGAAAAGTTTGTTGTGACTTAATACAAAGGCAAAAAATAAACAAAAAACTACTGGATAAAAAAATCTATATAGAAGAATTAAAATAATAAGAATTATTAATCTGATAGTTTTCAACTAATATGGTATATAATTAGCTTCTAAGTTGCATGGATACAAGCTTTAAAATGGAAAAAAAAAGTAATTAAACTTAGGATTCGCTTTTTCTGCAGTTACTGCAGATAAGTTATCTGCAGTAAGCCAATACGACGTCGTTTTGGGACGAAAATCATGGTGTTTTTATAATTTTAATTTATTTCAGGGTTATAATAGTCTTTATATTTATAATTTTTTAAGATTTCAATACCAAAACGACGTCGTTTTAGAAATAAATGCAGATAACTTATCTGCATTAACTGCAGCAATATTTTTCCCTTAAACTTAATGAGTTAGATTATGAGCTTTGAGCAAGATTTCAATGATTATTTAAATTAATTTGATTTTTCTTTATTCATTTCATTTTTTTTACTTTTAAATATTTCATAATTAAATTTGATTGGTCTTTTTCTCTTTTTTGGGTCGTGGACAATGATGCCGAGAATCAGTGGCGGACCCAGAAAAATTTGTTTATGTCCGCACATTTAGTGGCGGGTGCTCCCAAATTTTTTTTGTAAAAAAAGTTTAAGTTAACGCTTAAACTCGCTCATAATCTAGTTGCTTCCATAACAAGCTGCAGGCAATATTTTGACCCATCATTTTTTCTCTTAAATCTTACCAATCCTCCAAAACAAATATGAAAATATACTTAATACATCCATACATCATCATTCTATTCTATTTTATAGTGGTGAATAAAAAAGTCAACACTATTTGTACAAAAGACAAGCAAAATCACACTGAAGGCCTTGTCTAGAAAGGAAACAAAGGAGATGAAGAGAGCGTGAGAATGGGTACATGGTAGGGGAGGAAGAGAGCGTTGCTACGTTATTTTAATCATCTCCGTACGTTGCTAACTAATATAAGAATAAATATCATTTTTGGTCTCCAACAAAAAATTCGGTGCTCACTTTAGTCTATTATAAAAAAAAATAGTTACCTAGTCCTTATGAAATTTAAAGTGAACTCATTTTAGTCTTTTTGAGTAACTAATGTAGGTCTTTTTTGAATTAGTGAGGAACCACGATTTTAACTAAATTGATTCACTTTGAATTTCGTAGGGACCTCGAGACTAATTTTTGATAAGAGACTAAAGTGGGGACCATGTTTTTTATTAGAAACTTAAAATGATATTTACTCCTAATATAAATATTGAATCAACATACAAATAAATACCTACAAAGCTAAAAAAAAAAAAAAAAAAAAAAAAAAAAATCCAAAATTTTATGTGGGCACTTGCGGACATTTGCCCATGGCTGGGTCCGCCAGTGCCGAGAATGCATGTCTTTTATTTTTTAATAAATCAAATGAATTCTGATAGGGGTGTGACTCATCAATAGTTTTCATAAATGCAATTGGAAAATAATCCATGATTATTATTTTTTATTTTATTTTTTTGTAAATATAGAATGAATATCTGAGGTGAGACAAAGTCTTCACGACGCATGATTTTACCCTTTGCCCTTACTTTCATTGCCTTTAGCTGTCCATTATTACTGTATCCCATGTTTTTAGGAGAATAAAGTAGAAAAAATATAAGATTGATATGACATTAATTAAAAAAGGATAGGTAGAATAAATGCAGGTAAATAGATTTTTTCTTCTTCTTCTAACTTTAGCAGTCACATACTGTCCACAGGGATACTAAGATATTTTTCATTTTAGGAAGCATTAGGCTATGAATAAAAATAGAAAAATAAAATAAAATAAAACAATAAAATTACACAGTCCACCCACGTACATAAAAAGAAAAAAAGTTCCAAGTGGTAAAAATTTGAAAAGAAAATAGAATTAGAAGAGTATAGAATACGCTGGGATTAGAGTTTTGTATGTGTGAATTAGACACATGGTCATGAATTCAATCCTTTAACAAGAGCTTTTGATGTGTGCGTTAGGCGCATGATTACAAATTCAAACATTTGTCAAGTCTCTAAGTGAGAATAAGAGTAAATAAATTCCATAAATGATGAAAAAGTTCTTAATGAAATTCTAATGACTCTTGAACTTGGATATTTAGTTAATAAATGAGTAACAGCCTGTTAGGGTAATGACCCTAAAAGAGAGAGAACAAAAGAGAAAAGTAACGAGAACTGATCTGTTTATTCAAGAATGACTTCAGAATACATCTATCTACTCTTATATACAGCTCTCTAATACAAACTACTTTATTCAAACCCCTATCAGTACCTTTATTCACATTTATTATTGGGAAAAGTGTTTGTTCTTTTAAATGAGTCATTTCATTCTCACAAAGATATGAGACTCACAATTATATATTTTTTTTTCGACTTTCTTTCCTCCTTTATTTATCTCTTTATTTCACTTAAAATTAAAATGACATAACTTTAAATCATTCCTTTAAAATGATACACATTTTTTCCTTTATTATTTCTTTCACTTAGCCGTAACATTGTCACCCCCTTGGAAATTACCGATGAATACAACAACAAAAACTAAAAAATTGGAAGTTCTATTGGGTCCCAAGGAAAACAAAAGAAGAAGAATTGAAGTGTAATGTTTCTGCATTATCTTTGATAGCTACCAAGTCCAATAATATATCAGCATGTGTCACGTTTTCTTCTGCAGCAAATAACGCAAAAGCATTTTGCAAGCTCATCATCGATCAGCTTGTGCCTTGTATGACATGATCCTTTTCACCATGTAAAATAACCCATTACTTTTCCCAAACAAACTCCATTTTGCGCGCACTGGTTTGTTGAAGGATGGCCTCCTCTATTGTATCACCCATCATCTCAAAGATTTCTCCTAAGCCTATTTATGATTTTCTTCTAATATCTAGGGGCAGTGCTTGGGAAGGACCTTTTGTTTTTCTATTGGAAGGAGGTGAAGCAAAGGTTTCTCGTGGCTGGATGGGCGGGACGTCAATTGTATGTGTTGGTGGTGATGAGGATGTGGTCTAGGAGGTGGAAGGGATTTCTATGGCTGGAGATTCCGCAGGCACCTTTCTTTTCTTGCTTTCAGCAGCAGCAAAGACAAGCCTCGTTGTCGTAAGCCGAGAGGGCCGGGGTTACTTTGGGGGAGGATTCTTCAGATTGGTTCAAAGGCTTATATAATCTCTTGAAATTTCATGAATCCAACTCAGGTAGGTTTAATGATAATTCCACCAATAGTTCTTCAACAATAATCACACTTCAACAACATAAACATAGGAGTTCAATCATAAATTTCGAATTCTATACCATGAACCCAAAACCCCCCAATTTTCTTACATACGTGTTAACTCTCCCAAATGGACGGCTGGGTAATATGGTTTATGCTTGGATTATATTAAACTGTCTATCAGGTTAAAATTATCATAATGGGAATTATTCCCAGTAGTTCAAAGTACAGAGGAAATACTGTCCGTTTTATTTTAGCCATAGAAGTGAAAAAGTTTGCAATACATAAGGAAAAAGAGAAAATTTATTCGGTTAACTTCCGCATTAATTAAGTTGAGCATGCTACGCTTACTATCATATGAATGTTAATTAACCAGCTGCATACGGGGCATTACAGAAATAGACCAACCGGATGCTGTAAAGAGCTATCAGAATGAAGGAGATAAAGCTACAGATGAGATGAAAATTTATTATCAACCCGAAGAACCTCAAATTGCTGGCATTGAGAGTACTGTTATAGCAAATTTACAACAGGGTCAGACCGTTAGCAAGACAATCATACCACCATCTCCTTTACCTCAAAGGCTACAAAAGCAACAAGATGTCATGCAAAAAGAGCAAACCTTGAGTGATCTTGAGGCTAATGTGGAATTGATGCCTATGACTCTGCTAGAGAAAATGGAAATAAGGAGCATAAGGTCTGTAAAGATGACTCTACATTTACCTAATCGCTCCATCAAAACATCAATTGGCATTGTTGAAAATATGAATGTCAAGATAAGCAACTTTGCACACCAAGTAGATTTTGTGATGCTTGACATAGAGGAGGACCCTACTATTTCTCAACTTCTTGAGGAACCATTCTTTGATACCCGAAAAGTTATGGTAGACATGTGGAAGAGCGATTTGATTTTAAAGATGGATGGAGATCAGGTGCATACCATTGAATATACGAAAGATGGAATAACAAACCTCGATGATCCTCAATCATTAAAGGTTAAAGGCAAGCCCAAGGTCAAGATGAAGGAGTATACATGCAAGAAGAGTTGGATCGAAGAATCAAAGTTGTTCTTCGCTCTTTGCTTCAAGCCACCTTGATCATCAATCCAAGTCAGGTTGAAGACTATAAAACAAGCGCTTTTGGGAGGCAACCCAAAGTTCAACTAGAAGTTTTTCATTTTAATTTCAGTATTTTAGGTTTCTTGCATTTGAATTTCTTGCATTTTTAAATTTTCGTATTTTCAATTCTTAGGATTATGATGAGTTAGTATTCATGTTCCCTTTTAATCCAAGTTAAACTATGTTGCAGGAAAAGAGGTACTGATGCTCCAAAGAGAGGAATTGGGCCGTAGCAAAGGCTTGAGTTCGGAGTCCCTCAAACACTCAAGCCACAACAAAGGCTTGAGTTTGGAGTCCCCCAAACCTCAATCACCTTCACTCGAGGCAACCAAATTGAATTTGGAGTGGCAAGAATGGTGACACTAAGCACCCAAAGTGGAAAAATCAAGGCAAAGATGAAGAAATGGGAAAGGAGGTTGAGCAAAAAGATGAAAACATAGAAGATAAACCCTTGGACCAATAAGAAGATGAAGACTAACATCAGAACTTCCCTCAGTTTTGATTAAAAATGAAGAAAAACCCTGGTTGTCTTGTTCTTTTCTTTTCTTTTCTTTTCTTTCCTTCTTTTCCTTTTTGAAGTGAAACCTCTTGCATCATCTAGAAAATTAATGAAAAAGAGGAACATGTTTGCTAGCTAGTTAGATTTTCAATTCGGTAAATTTACTTTTCATTTTTGTTTGAATAAAGAAGTTAGGTTATACATTACAGCATGAAAATAATGAAAAAAGAGTTGGAAAAAACCTTAATAAAAAGTAACAATAAGTTGAAAAAAAATGCTGCATCAATAAGGTAAAACAGATTGCATCCTTAGCTATGTTGTTATGATCATTTTTGTTGTAGCAAGATAGCAGTAGTTACGTTGAGTGAGAGTAAGTGCTCTTCAACTTGAAAGGCATTGAAAGTATAGATTGGAGGCTGAAATGATCAAGGCAGAAAGCAACTGGAGTCATTGAACATTCAAGCACAAAGGAAGAACTTGAAAGCAAGAGAAACCGAAAGAGTGATTACAGATGAAGACTTAGGATCCAAGGTTTGACGGATTTAAATCTTACCATATGAGTAAGTTTTGAAGGCTATAAGGGTGGCCTGGAGAGGGCCAAATTCTCTGCCGAGCGCCCAGTTGAGCGCTAAAGAAGCCAAGCTAAATCAAGTGCAAAAGCACAAGTGAAAAAGAAAGTCCCTCACAAAAAGAAAAATCAAGTCAAAAGCAAAAAAACTAAAATAAGTGCCAATGCACATGGGCCAAAGCTCACAAAAATAAAAGAGGGAGCCAAAGGCAAAAGAAAAGCAAGCAAGGTGGACACTCGTTCCTTCAATTCTCTACACATGGACCTTGATTCAAGTTTGGCAAAGTATGAATAAAGCAACTAAGTCTTATGATTCTTAGTTTGAAGCTCTTAAGTGGATCAAACCAACAAGGAAGATTTACACACACGCACAGACTCAATACTCCAGAAGCCAAGATAAGTTAAGCTAACAAAGGGTCCCAAAGTTGAAGTGTAAGTCGAAGTGGAGGAGCAACTCTCAAGTGTACATTGTTGTTAGAATGCTACATCAGAACTGCTCATCTCAATAATACTCATTGCTGCAATGATGCTACCAAATTTATGCAGGCCAATTAATCTTTTTTTTTCTTTGTTACTCGAGGACAAGCAACGTTTTGAGTTTAGAGTGTGTTAACTCTCCCAAACAAGAGTTAATTTAGTATTTTTAAGATAAATTTGGTGCATAAATTTCATATAAAGTGTCTTAATTGCATGATAATTGAGCTAAATGTTGCATATTCATGATTAAGTGCTTTGAGATGACTAAGTATGAAAAATGAGACAATATTCCTTGATTTTGTACAAAGAATAGATGATTTGTTGAATGTTTGTTTTTGCAGGAAAAGTTGACACCATAATGTTGTAGCAGAGAAACTAACGAAGTAATGATATATAGCAATCGGTACAGCATGACAACGAGGACAGGAGAACAATATGTTGAATCTTTCACGCATGTGTCAAACTTTTTAGCTTGACACAAATTCTTAACCATTATTTTCCATAAATCTAACGATTATAATTTATTGGGTCACACTTAGTAATTAATTATTAATTCTAAATAAAAATATAATTGTTAGATTGATAAAAATCAATAGTCAAAATTTAATATCAAATTTTTTAATGACACCTTTGTCAAAAAATCATATATATAGGGAGAGGGTCCTTTGACACCAGTGTCAAACTTTGAAATTTGACACCAAATTCTAACCATTGATTTTCGTTAATCGACAGTTGTCATTTATTGTGAATTAATGATTAATTAATAAATTTGATTTCCAATAAATAATAATCATTTATTAACGAAAATCAACAATTAGAATTTAATGTCAAATTACAAAGTTTGACACCGGTGTCAAAAATTTTTGCCATATATATATATATATATATATAAGACAACTTTGCTTGTAAAAAACCAAAATTATATTAAAAATATATATATTCAAACGAAGAGAAATTTTATTCGTCGTTCAATTCAAGATTACGAGAACCAAATCCCGTATCAATTTCTACATTCCAGGAGTGGGCTAATTTGAACAATAAAATCGGAATTAGATGAAAAATTCTTAAAAAAGTAAATACAAATATACCATTAAATAAAAACTTCCAAAGCGCATATTCCCGAAACCGAGGTCAGTATTGATCTTGTACTTTTTGATGATCTTTAAAGATTAAAAAGAATTGATATACCGAGTGTATTTGAACATCACCTCATGACCAAATTAAATGCTCGAAAACTGCAACCCATGTCTTAACAAGTTCAAATCTCAATCGTATCTTAATCGAAAGCCCTTTCTGTTTAGAGGTCTTAGATCGACATCAAAACGCAAATCAATACCATAATGGATAATGAAGTGTTGAAAAAATTGAATATAACAAAAAATATACAAAAAGAAAATGATACGGGACAAGAAATTATAACTATAAGCTATATCTTCTAACTAGAAGCTATATCGTTTAAAACACTACTAAAAAAAGTTGAGCAGACCCTAACCAATCCATTATACAAAATGAGGAAGAGAAAGATACATGCATCAATCAAGGGAACAATTTATGTGGAAGAGCAGAGAGAGAGAGAGAGAGTGGATAGGAAATTTGTATCTTAAAAACAAAATTAAAAATTTGCAATGATATGAACAGATCATGATATAACTTTGTATAACTAAGAATAAAAGCATGAATATTGTAGTATTAATAAAAAAACATGGATATTGCACATCCTTCAATAATAAAAAGACGAGCTAACTGTTTGGAGAAGACAAAAAATGGTAGGTCCTATAAATGGGACCAACATATTTGTTGTGTGTATAGAAAAAAAAAATTCTTCTCATATTACATGAAAAGTCTTTTTTTTTTTTTTGGATAACAACATGAAAAGTCTTTAACACTTCATCTATATGATCAAATCAAACATATTTTAACACTTCACCATGAAATTGTACATGGTGTGACCCTGTACAATTTTTGAGGGAAAATATCGATCTAAACAACTTTTAATAATATAAAGGCAAGGGCTTGCTGGGTTTACTTCAATAGTCTCTTAAAAATAAAAAAGAATACTGCATTATCTTTTTTTAAATATACAGACTTTATGTCAGATATTTCATTGAACAGTAAAAATTACAGAGAAAGTAAAAAATAGTTATATTACTCACGTAATAAAAATCGCTAACTCATAATAATCACAAACTTTAATAAGTCAATAACTTTTATTACTCAATTTATAATTTTAAAAAAATAATATGATACATTTTTTTTTATAAGAAATACCAAAATAAACCCCTGCTATTAAAACTTTTCAAATGTGGTTTTTTTTTTTTTGGGAGGGGGGGGGGGGGGGGTGTTTACATGCGATTTTATGAAAGTTGTGCCATGTCATATGGACATCTTTACTGGGTAGATTGAAACTTCTAAACAATAATTACAAGCACCATTGGGTAAAAACTGTAAATGATGTGTAAAACTCATAGGGTTGTGTGACAATATTTACGTGCAAAATTCTCCAGCATACGAAGATAGAGAGAGGCAATGAAGTAGCAAATCACACATCTGTATTTGTTTGCTTCTATACTTATAGCTTCTATACTTATAGCTCCTATAAAAACAGGATGCAAAATTTGATTTAAAGAAGCACGGGAGACGAGAGCAAACTTGGATATATATATATATATAGTCAGCTGTTACGTTGAGGAGATCTGCTAGGGTTAACTGATTTTGTATCTTGAGTACACATACCATTTTTGTATCTGTTAGTGATTGCATGTATTCAATAGGTGGTTTAGTTGTTAGCCAACACGTGTATAGTGAGCTGTCATTTGGGTTAGTTGAGAGAGTATAAAGATACAGTTGTAAACATTCTAAAGCATTGAATAAAAACTTGGTATTTTTTTCCTCTGTTTTCTTCCTCTTTTCCTCTCTTAGGTTCTGCTGAACCTAACATTGGTGCTTTCATTCCATTCTCTTGTTCTTGACACAATGACGAGGGTTCAAGAATTATCGGAGGAGTTGCATTCTTCCCAGCAACATGTGGACACTAATTTTTAAGAACTTCGTATGCAAGCGACGAGACAAGCTGCCGAGACCAGAAGCCAGATTTCATTGTTGGTTACCCAGATGCAACAATTACAGGAAGCTGTTATCGCTATAACCAAGCGCATAGGCATGAAGCTTCCAATGCCAACACTTCTTCTGTTTCTCACACGTCGCCTAGACCAGAGTCCATGGATCATCGTTCATTACTTAAGGGCGTTCACATGGAGATACCATTATTCAATGGTCATGATCCTAATAATTGAATCTTTAAAGCGGAACTTTTCTTTACTCTTCAACTGATTCCTGAAGAAACAAAGGTGGCGCTGGCTGGGTTAAAAATGGAAAGTAAAAATGGAAAGTATGGCTGCCTCGTGGTTTCAATGGACATTCAACACAGGTAAGGCTTGTGCTTGGCGTGATTTTGCTTCTGCTCTTCGCCAACGGTTTGGTATGTCTGGATTCACAAATTTAAAAGGAGCTTTGTCTAAATTGACCCAAACTTCATCCATTTGTTATTACATTCAGCAATTTGAGGCATTGGTTAATCAAATCCCAGATTTAGACGATGACCTTCTCATGAATTTTTTCGTTTCGGGTTTTCAATCTGAGCACCGCAGTGCTGTCCAATTACGGGAACCCATATCCTTGCATCAAGCCATTCAACTTGTCATGGCTTACGATAATCACTTTGGTGATTTAAAGAATTCATTCCAAGCTGCAACCAAGAAATTTTTTCCAAAATCCGTTCCTGTGGCTGAAGGTACTTCTGTTGTGCCAAATACTTCCACATTTCATGCTGGACTTCCACCATCAACCTCGACTACACAACGGTTGGCTTTACCAGCCCCTAACCAAGTAAAAGGATGTCCAACGCTGACTTATATAAGCGGAGAGAGATGGGTCTCTGTTACACTTGTGATGAAAAATGGTCTTCGAAACATCTATGTAAAAATAAACTGATGCTATTGGTGGGAGAGGAGGATGAGTTAGATCAAGATCTTGAAGAGGAACAAATTGTTTGGCAGGTTGATAATTCTGTTGGAGAATCAAAGGATGCTTCATTACATACGTTGAGTGACAAAAATCACTATCGTGCTTTGACGTTTACATCCACCTTGAAAGGTATGAATTTCTCTGTGTTAGTTGATTCTGACAGTACCCACTATTTCATCCAAAAGCAACTAGCCATTAATTTGTCATTGTCCATGTCACATACGCACAGAATTCGTGTGTTTTTGGGAAATGGTGAGATAATGTATTCTGGAAAAAAATGTCTAAAGGTACCATTGTTGATTCAGGGCCATGTATTTGTGTGTGATCTTTGGGTTTTGGAGTTATCTGATATCAATATTATACTGGGCACGCCATGGCTTGAACGGTTAGGCAAAGTCACTCATGATTATATCAATAAATCAATGGAGTTTGTATGGGAAGGACGCTCAATTTCTTTGCAGGGCCATAATGAAGTTTCTGTTGCTGCTAATCTGAATGCATTGTCACCAATGAGTAGGCAATGTGTTCTGCCTTGCAAGTGGAATTTGATCCACAAGTGCAATGTATTCTGCCTGAGCTGATCGAGTTGAAAGCTGAAACATCCAGTTTTATGGTCAATTTTGTTTAAGTTTCAGAAGGTGTTCTCTCTACCTACTGGATTACCTCCATTCAGAGGATTGGACCATTCCATCCATTTAGAGGAAGGTACCAAGCCTATTAATGTCAAGCCTTATTGCTATGGCCATAGTCAAAAATATGAGATTGAAAGACAAGTAATCAGAATTATTAGCATCCGGTTACATTCAACACTCACAGAGTCCATTTTCTTCTCCAGATCTGCTAGTTAGGAAGCAGGATAATTCTTGGAAACTTTGCATTCATTATAGGGCTCTTAAAGCAGTCACAATTAAGGATCGTTTTCCTATTCCCACTATCGATGAGCTCTTAGACGAGTTAGGGGGCTCTACTATTTTCACAAAAACTGGATTTAAGAGCTGGATACCATCAAATTAGAATGCTGTCAGCTGATGCTCATAAAACTGCCTTTAGAACTCATGAAGGTCATTATGAATTCTTATTCATGCCATTTGGCTTGACAAATGCTCCTGCCACATTCCATGCAGTCATGAACCAATTGTTCAAGCCTTACCTTAGAAGATTCATTATAATTTTTTTTATGACATTTTGGTCTTCAGCAAAAATATGGAAGAGCATGCTTAGCACCTAGAATTGGCTCTTCAATCCTTACAGCAATATAAATTTTTTGTTAAGCTCAACAAATGTGCCTTTGGTCAAAAATCCATCGAGTATTTGGGCCATGTGGTAGCTGATGGTGGTGTGTATGCTGATCCAATGAAAACCTCAGCCATGCTTCAATGGCCTACTCCGAAGACTATCAAGCAGTTAAGGGGTTTCCTTGGACTCACTGGTTATTATAGACGCTTTGTTAAAGGATGTGCCTCTTTGGCTCTCCCATTAACCAATTTATTGAGAGGAGCAGCAGTCTTCACTTGGTCTGCAGAAGCTGAAGAAGCATTTTTAAAACTCAAGGATGTTATGTCTCACACACCAGTTTTGAGGCTACCTAATTTTGAGGAGCTCTTTGTTTTGGACACTGATGCATCAAATCATGGTGTGGGTGTTGTGCTGCTTCAGGGTGAGCACCCTATATCGTATTTCAGAAAAAAGTTAGGGCCGAGACTAGCAAGTGCTTCTACTTACATCAGGGAGCTATATGCTATCACCACAGCAGTTAAACGTTGGTGCCAATATTTGTTGGAGTCCAAATTTATCACTAGAACTGATCATAGAAGCATTAAAGAACTTCTCACTCAGACTATACATACAGCAGAGCAACAGAAGTATTTGTGCAAGTTGATGGGGTACTCTTTCCATATTGAGTATAAACCAAGCCATGCTAATACAGTTGCAGATGCACTATCACGTGTGTTTGATGAGGATGGTGCCCTGCAAGTTTCTTTTTCTGAACCAGAGTTTGATCTTCTTTCTGAGATTAAACATCAGAATTTGAATGACCCTCAATTACTGCATCATCATCAGAAGTTAAAAGATCACCCAAATGGTGATCCTGACATGATGATCCGTGATGGAGTTATTTTTTACAAAGGTAAAAATATCTCCTCAGCTCTTCTTCATCATTGTTTGTTGTGTTAATAATTCTTCGTTAGTTGGAGGGCATGCTGGTGTATTGCGAACTTTTTTAAGATTGTCAGCTACATTCCATTGGCCATCTATGAGAAAAGATGTTAAATAATTTGTTCAGAAGTCATACTTGTCAACAGGTTAAATATGAAACCTCTAAAGCTGCGGGGTTGTTGCAACCTCTACCAATTCCAGAAGGCATTTCTGAGGAGCTCTCAATGGTATCAGGATTACCACCATCAAAGGGATTTACAACTATCTTAGTTATAGTGGATAGATTGTCTAAATTTGCTTATTTTGGTTCGTTACCAACTTCTTACATAACATTTTCAGTGGCAACTTTATTTTGCGAATTAGTAGTGAGAATTCATGGCTTTCCTCGTTCAATATTAACGGACAGGTATTGAATTTTTCTAAGCCAGTTTTGGAGTCATCTCTTCAAGTTAAGTGGTACTACTTTGCGAACAACTTCTTCATACCATCCACAATCTGATGGTCAAACGGAAGTGACCAACAGATACCTAGAACAATATTTGCATTCTTTTTGTTATGAACAACCACGTTCTTGGTGCAACTTCCTGAGTTGGGCCTAGTACCATTACAACTCAGCCACTCATTCATCTATTGGCATGGCACCTTATCAGGCAATTTTTGGAAAACCCCCAATCATCATACCATTTTATCCTAGAGGACTCATTAAGTCGGAAGCAATTGATACAACGTAGGCAACGTAATGAAGTTCTAGCTCAACTCAAGGTTCACTTACAGAGGGCTCAAAACCGTATGAAGGTTCAATTTGATAAACACCACAAGAAACACTCCTTCAATGTGGGAGATAAAGTTTAGGCTCGTTTACAACCTTATAGGCAAGTAACAGCTGAAAGAAGGGCCAACCACAAACTAGCTAAACAATTTTTTAGTCCCTTTGAAGTGCTTCGTGATTTAGGAACTACTGCGTATGAATTGAAATTACCTCTAGGGAGTCAAATTCATCCAGTGTTCCACGTATCTCAGTTAAAACCTTGTGGATAATAGGCCTGTTCAAGTACCATTAGCCATCTTAGACACGCGCCAATCTTCTTGCCAGGGTCAACAAATTTGTGAGTTTCTTGTTCAGTGGTCCAAAACGATCCCAGAAGATGCCTTGTGGGAGAAGGAGCAAGATTTGCGTCACTGTTATCCATCTATCGACCTTGAGGACAAGGTCGTTGTTTAAGGAGTGGGGAATGTTACGTTGAGGAGATTTGCTAGGGACAAAAAACATTCTTCTAGGTTAACTGATTTTGTATCTTGAGTACACATACCATTCTCGTATCTGTTAGTGATTGCATGTATTCAATAGGTGGTTAAGTCATTAGCCAACACGTGTATAGTGAGCTGTCATTTGGGTTAGTTGAGAGAGTATAAAGATACAGTTGTAAACATTCTGAAGCATTGAATAAAAACTTGGTAACCTAACATCAGCCTTCTAAAAATTGTAGCAGAGGAAGCACCACAGCCAAACAAGGTAGCTCTATGCCGCCATATTCCTAGTAAAAGAAACAAGCAGACTTATTAGTCCTTGACTCAAACTAAGAAAATAAGGCAGGTGCAAGCTTGGGAATTTACATCTTCTCTTGTAAGCTGGTACGTCCTTTCCCTTCCAGCAGCCGCAGAGTTCACGCAGATTACACCTTATTAAAATCCTTGACGACCTGATTTTGATACAAACTTGAAATTAATAGGCATTAAAGTAATAACATTAATGTGCCTCGCACATCATGGCAAACTTTATTTTTATATGATCATAAACGTTTTATTGGATAGTAAAGTTAAGAAAAAGGAGGAAAAGAAGAGGTAAGAACTACTCTAAAATTGATTTTAAAAAAAAATTTAAAGATGGTATTTTTAAGGAAGTTTCATTAGCTCAGCAGCAGATTTCTAATAATATTAGATGATTCCCTTCTGTTTAGTGTAAAGCACATGGTCCTTTTAAGGGGGTTTCCTTAACAGATATGACCATTAGAGGGATTGCCAGACTGAGCAGCTTTGCTCCATTGCTGTTTTCTGTTTTTCTTTGTTGATTTTTCCCCCTTTTTTGCTATGGATGATCCCTTGCCTCCAAATTCCTTGTATTTTTCTTCTCTTTATTTTATTGAATTTCTTATTTTATACAAAAACACTAATTAATATTGATGAAAGAAAGCAAAGAAGAGCCTGCAACTCTATACATGTCTGTAAGAGAAACCAACCCCGCCAAAAGCCCATGAACCAGGATACAAAACAGAATATGGAAAATTTTAACATACCTCAACATACAGGTGTGAGTAATAGAATCAGAGGCAGAAAGTTTGGGCCCAAAGTTCATAACCCTAGAAACAAAACCATTGACATGTCAATAGAGTACACGCTATAAAACAAGGAAAACCATTATATAAAAGCAATACATGACAGATACAACAACAGCAAAAGCCTTTTCCCACTAGGTGGGGTTGTCTACACAGATCAAACAACAACATTGTGTTTTGTCAAAAATCATCCACTCAGCTTGGATCCTATGATTTACATCTCCCTTCATCTCTCTGTTAATTTGTAAGACATGACAGATAGAAAAAAATTGTTACAATCACAAAAGTATACTAAATGAGCTTTCATTGCCAAGGACTACAAAACAGAAGTCTCAAGGTCAAGACTGAATAGATTAGCTAAGACTGGAATGGAACCACATCTAACAAAGCAATTTATCAAAATTATAGGGAAAAAGATGGAATAGAAGAATATATTACTAATAGTACTCCAAATAATTGTGATGTTTTGATGTAAAATACTAACCTAATACTCTGATTTATACTGATAAACTAGGTAATACAGCTAGTACAAGCCTAGTCTGATAACACTCCCCCGTAACATATATTATAACAACATCAATCTCACACCAGTGGTTCCAACCTTGAAGAACACTGAAAGAGAAAATGAAATTGATGAAGAAAAAAGTTTACAACAGTAGTTACTACTATATATCTGTTCATCATATATAACATAGTAACCTGCAAGCCACATCACCATCCACTACAAATTAAAAAAAAAAGGTTTCAGAGAACCACCAAATAAAAAGGTAACTAAATCTTTGGATTATACACAATTATGCAGTTAACATAGCAAGGAAAACTTGTTCACGGCATATCCATAATTACCAAAACTGACAGTGAGGTGATTTATAATAAACATCTTCAGCCCCTTCTCAAAACATGGCAAGAAAAATTGAGCACGATGTCATATACAGACTTTACTTGAACAACGATGGCTTATTATGCTCTTAAACCTAATAGTTAACACACCAACTAAGCTCTTCAAAAGAAAAGCTAGAATTCTTTATGGGAAGATCTGGAATGAGCACAAAAAATGTAAAGTTCACCTCTAAACAATCAAATCACTATGAAATGGACTGGATAGTTTCTTGTCGATTAATCCAAACTTACACAGTAATATTAAAATCTAACCTTTGGTGCAACAATAGATCCCCCAATGCATGATTAACTTTCTCTTATTTTATAGCCTCAACTACACTAATCCTTGGTTATGATTCAAACCTAATACCCAAACTTCATCGTACCTTGTTTTAAGTTACTAGCTACACGTTTGCAAATGATAAGTACAACATGCTAAGATATAAAACAATTGAGGGAGGAACCAATTAGGAGGCAAAAAGAAAAATAAACTCACTAAACATAGAAAAATCATGACATAAACTGGACCTGTCTTCTAAACAAACAGAAAAACCGAATCACCCAATCCAAGGAGAAAGTAAGATCTAAATAGTATAGAAATTTAAATGTACATAAACTATTGCTTCAATCACGACAGAAGACTAAATACACTAAAGAGAAACATTAGTATAACCTAAAGTTTGGATGGCCATAAAAGGCAACTCCTACATTCAAGGCTACACATAATGGGTAATGGAAAAGGAAAACAAACAAAAGAATTTACCATTCAGAAAGCTGCATAACGTACTCGACTAAGAATCCCATCCTTTCTGCTCCACTGTTGAATATATGATGCCAGCAAAATACATCATGCTAAAATATGCTTGGCTGCTTCAGATAGAAATAGAAAACTTTCCAATTTAGAACATCTCTCCCTGAATGCAGCCTCACTCACTAAACTTGTGAAGGAGAAAATATGAATTGTAGTTTACAACTAAAGTCTGACTAAATGGAAACTTTCTTCCTATTGTTTTTTGCCTCAATGTCTTGTGAGCTGTGAATACATCTAGACCTAAATCATCGCAGAACAGCTGCCCAGGATAATCTGTGGGTGCAAACAAGCACAAGAAGAAAAAATACACATTTTTTTCAATCGAAAAATAAATTTTATAAGAGCAAAAAGAGGGGCACGATATGACTAAATTTGCAGCTGCAGCAAGCTCAGAACCTGAGCTATGGATACTCAACTTTTTAATGCTTCAAAAAAGTGAACAATAGGATGGTACAGGAGAAAAGAATGACATTTCACCTCCTCGGAGAAGCATGTGATTCCAACCTAGCTAAGTGGCAATCGTTGCGATAACAACTTAAAAACTGAAGGACATTGCCTCTACAGGCCTATACTCTATAGAAAAGAAAAAAATCATATGGCAGCAGTGAAAAGAAGGGACATAAGTAATCCTCAAGATAAATGATTTTAATAAAAGGAAAGGATAGACAAAGGAAGCAGCATAAGTAATCCTCCTTAGACAAAAAAACAAGGAAACAAACAATCAACAAAAACATAACAAAACCACTATTTAAAAGAGCTCTCCAGTCCCTATGTTTACATCTACCAAAGGGACTCCTAGAAGAAAATCATGACGCAAGTATTAGAGGCTGAAAAAGCAACCTTGTACTGAAGAACACCCAAGGGTGGAGGTTTTCCTTCGAAAATTTGATCATTCCTCACTAACCAGAGACAACAAAGAACAGAAAACCTATCAAACTGCCCTGAAACTTTTATGACTTTTCTCCCTTCCAAACCTCGACCATTTGGAAATAGGGACATGTTAGGTCTACAGATGAAGCTTGGGCAATGTAGAAATATATGTGAAGCTGTTTCTGAATAAGAACATCACATCAAACAGATTAGGAGATAAAGCCTTGCTAGCTCTACAAATCTACAAAATATCATTAGTACTAATCTTGCTAGGTATCAGTCCAACTAAGAGACTTTCCCTTGGAGGGTGTTTTAGATTTCCAAAGTTTATCAACAAGGAATTTCTTGAAGTTTGGAGAATGGATGACAAAACTGGAAGTAAGATTTACAAGAAAACCAACCAAAAGAATAAGAGTCCTCCTATCTAGTTTAGAGGACAAAAACAGCCAATTCAATAAAAAAACAAATGGGACTTCAGTTCAAAAGTATCTCTATCATGCTGAGTATCTAGAAAATGAAGATTCCAAGAAACATTGGTGTCCAGGATAGAGGACTGCTGCAAATAATGGAATATCTATTATTCTCCCCTAAACCTGACCCAATGAAGTCTCTTATAATCTTCTAAATCGATCAATCCCATATGCAATCATCAACATCAACAACACCTTTATCCCAAACAAAATTGGGGTCAATGGTAGATAAACCCAAATGAAAGATACGAAGAGATTGAAAAAAGATAAAAATGAAATTTAAGTGTATATATATATATATATATATATATATATATATATATGTTTTATTTTGTAGTTTGCTGGGTTTTTTTTCAGTTCCATGTATCAAAGAAAAAATTAAAAATAAAAAGAGTGTGGAAAAAATAAATAAGTAAGAGAGAGAGAAAAAAAGAGTTTGGAAAAAATAAATAAATAAGTAAGAGAAAGAAAAAAAAAGAGATGGGGAAGAGGAAAAGAGATAAAGAAAAAGAAAGGGAAAATCCCATATGCAATCATATGACTGAAATTTTGAAAATAAATAAATATGCAGTAAAAATGGAGACAAACTGTATTTAAGGTGTTAGGCATTGCCACTACAGACTGGAGACAACAGGAAACAAGCATTCCATTTCATGCATAAACTTCATAAATTGGGCAGAAGATTAATGAAAATCTATACCATTATAAATGGGTATTAAGGGTGTCTTCAACAAAAACTAAAAACAGAGGACAAAATTGTCATTATAAATTAAAAGGGTATTAATAGGCCCACCACTTACACCCACTCCTTTCTAGGAACTTCTCTTTTAAATTATTAGTTTGATATATTGCAGTTAAATTAAAAGGAGGAAACCTTAATTCATTAAATAAAATACAATAGGATTTTCTCTTTACACCCCCTTATCGTGAGTGAATGCTCTGGAAGGGGTAGCACGTTTACCTGGAGAAAGGCAGGCAATAAGAGGATAGAATAACTGACAGTAATACCGTGGCCAAACTCACAAATGGTAATGCATTAAAAAGTCATGAGAAACACTGACATTGTAACAGTGTAAGAGTATCCATGAAGAAAGCATCTGATATTCTATGGTTTTAGCTAAAAATTTGACTACTTATTAGGGTTGAGCAAGTCATGGTACTCACTGAATTTGAATAGACATTTCTTTGGTAGGCCTTCGCAAAATGCTAAAACCTATAACAAATTGTCAAAGAATCAAGGCTCTCCAACAAGACGACACAAAGTGCAGCAATAGCAAAAATGGCAGAACTACAGAGCTCTTGACAGAATAAGCATTTCTTAAACTGCAGTTCGTAGTGTATAGCAATAAAAAGATAAAATCTTTTGTATGACAAGGTACAAAACAAGCTCGTAAATATTTTCAGTTTCTTTACTAACAATAGCCCCAACAGATTTATACCTTGTGCAATTTCACACTGCTTCCTAGAAAGCCTATTATAAGTTAAGGAGGGATACAAAAACAATTTTTCTTTTCCTTGTTTTCTTGGGGGGTGGTGATGTTTACCAAGAAGCTGATATTTACATAAAATCCAACTATTTCAGCCTTTTTACCAACAACAGCTCCAACAGAGACTGTATACCCTGAGCAAATTCAAACCACTTCCTAGAAAGCCTACTAGAAGCAAAGGAGGGATACATGAAGCAACTTTTCTTTTCCTTGTTTTCCTTGGTGGGTGGTGAAGGTTAACAAGCAGCTAAGATTTTCCGTGCGCGCAAATTTGACAGTAAGCAACCTTATATTATCCATAGTACACAGGAATAAAGAAAAAAACTTAAGCTAAAGACATAAAGAGCAAGATTATAATGAGCGACACACCTGAAGAAAAAGAAATTATAAAGCAAAATATCCATTAATTGACACCATAGACAAACATCATCTACTGCATCATCAACCTAATATGAGGCTTTTAATATTAGTACAACTTCAAGGAGCATCTAATAGACAATTTCCCAAGATGTTCATGAGTAGATAACTCTTAAAACCCTGAACCAATCATCTAGAAAGTTGCAGCCCAAGATACCAGTTATAAAGATTTCTTAACAGGATAGAAGAGATCTATCTGTGTCCTTGAGCTCTCTGCATGTCATATGCACCCCAAGCAGCAGGTCCAGGTCCATACTGAGGAAAATTCTCCACACCAGGCTGAACCTGAAAGTAGCCAGTATTTAGCATAGAACAATATCTAGATTAACATAAAGGTGGCAAAAGAGCATTACATGATGACATACTGTGCAGACAAAAATTTCCATTAAACAATCAAATACATTTCGGACAGTAACTGAACTAAATTATTTGCAAGCTATGCAATACAATTTTGTTACCACTAATAGCCAATTGACACATTTATACTGGCCAGACCGAGAGACCAAATGTAATTTTGGAGGTTATATCAGGTTGTAGTCAGGCAGAGCCATAATAACAGCCCCAAACCAACAAATTTGACTATTTGAAGCTTGCGCAAAGCATTCATATTTTGAAAATAAAGCTCCAGATCCAACATATATACTACATAGTTGATGTTTAAGAGGAAAACAGAATAAAAAATTGCCCAGGTTTCCAGCCTGCAAATACACAAAGTACCATTAGTGGTGATTACTATTGGGGTCTGTTTAGATCTCCAAAGGAGATAATGAGCCATGGATGAATACGGGAGGCAGAGCTACGGATAGGAAAGATATCAAGAAATGAGGAGAGGTAGAAACAAAACAAGAGCTAATGCGTGAATAAGGGTGGCAAATGAATGAATCAGATTATAATGGATGGATAAAAGAAATAATCCATTTAAGATCCATTATGAAATAATTAAGATAATCCAATTCATCCAAGAGTCATTACGTGGATCAATATTCAACCTCCCAGTTGATCCATTTCCATTTATCGGATGAATATCCAATCCATCCAACTCATCCATTATTAATCATATTAAATTTTTAAGCTTCCTCAATTTATTGAGAATTAAAAAAAAAAGTGAAATTATGACAATTCAGTAGTCAGAATAAAAAAATTGCAGAATAAAATGGAATGCACAAATAGTACAGTATTATAGAGTGATTGAAGATCTTTCTTAAGGATGGTTTCCCAGCAAAAACCACACGCTGTAAGTAAAGGCAGTAAAACCTAGACAGTAATAGATTTTACACAGACATCCAGCAGTGCACAATAAATTCTTATTTGCATACATACTGCCACTCACATGCCTGGTCCTGCGACATGGTGCAGTAGCAATGACTGGCTACGCACAATCAGATCCATTATGGGCTTTTTGTTTTTGAAAGATGGCTGTTGACGCAGATTCATGGTGGATATCCAATGAATATTCTAGAAAATCCATTAACCCCCAAAAATTAACCTTGATCCAATTAACCTAATCCATTAAAATAATATAATATTGGACAGATAATTGATTCATTGATTATTTTGCTGCCTCTAAACATGAGCAAGTATTAAGAAATTCAAGGTTTTACTAATACATGGCAGGGTCATTTCCACCAATCCAACTGAAGTAAGGAACAATCCAAAGATTTTCCAAAATTAAACCCAAATACAAGTGATTTACTGAGAAAACTGATAACAACCATTTGGTTGGGGCAGGCTCACTCAGTTTATGCTCAGACCAAATGCATATTATTCATTATAAAGAAGGTCAACTATACTCAAGATAAATTCAGAATATGACAAGACTCACCGGATTCATGCCATACATGGCAGGGTAAGGATTTCCAGCATATCCAGCCTCAGCATTGCCATAATTTGCATTATACCCTGGACCTACAAATATAATCAAAGCAAAGAAGGACAGCAAACAAAGTTACAGCATTATTAGGCTTAAATTCCATGGAAAGAAGCAGGATTTTGATCAATTAATCAGCATAAATTACAAGGTACAATGGTCACAGCCGGCCAAAATTGTAATCTCTTAAAACATGAAAACCGAAAGCTCATCAATCATCATACAAGGAAGAACAGAACCAGACCACTGCAGCTTGAAGTCACTTATAGCAACTAGCTAACTTGTTAAGACCACACCACTTAGAAAATACACACACACACACACACACACACACACACACACGTAGAATTTGCATACCGAGATTCCCAGCCGCTGCAGCAGCACGTGCTCTTTTCTCTGCATTCGCAATCTCAGCACGAAGCTTCTCCATCTCCCGAGCCATCGAGATCAACTTCTTCTCCATCACTTGACCATGTTCATAGTTTTCCGCAAATCCTTTCTTCTCGTAGTCAATGGCAGCTCTACAAGCCAAGAACCAATTAAAAAAACAAAAGTATGATTAATATAGACTCAAGGTTCATCAGTTCATGGTCAACCCTATATCAACATAATTTAAAAATTGAGGGCAGTTATACTTAGAACATATTTTTGTTTACAACCTCTTGCAATCACTTTCTTTATCCTTGGATCAAAATCCAATCAACTATTCTCCGTTGATGTCATTCCGTAACGGTTGATTTGATTTCCAGTTGATTTGATTTTGATCAAAAGATAAAGAGAGTGGTTGTAAGATTTTGTAAGTTGTAAATATAACCTATCCTTTGAAAATTATAAACATATGCATATTATAAATTCATAATTAAATTATCCTATAAACTTGCTTCAAATTGAGGGAGCTACTACTAGTGCTGCTACCTTGCGCATTGCAACTCTTGTTTCATGGCCTCCACGTCAGCTCTCAAAGCCGGAACTCGTTTCAAATCGGCGGTCATGCGGGCCAAATCCTGCGTCATGGCCTGCACCTGGCCGGACAAATCCTGCCGGACGGCAGTTAGCTCCTTGATGTCGGCGTGAACCTGAAGAAGCTCGGCCCTCATGGCTTCGGCGCCACGAAGCTCGGCTTCCAATTGAACCGACTTGTCGTACAATTCCCTCATCCTGGCGTCAGTATCGACCATCAGGGAGTCCTTGAAGTGCGCCATTCTCTGCAATTCGTGCTGTGCGGCCTCAAGCTCCTGCTTCAGCGCCACGTGTGTGGCGGCGAGACGCTGGTTGTCCCCCAAGAGGCCTTGGATTTCTTGGTGCTGCGCCGCGAGCTGCTCCTCGAGGATGGCGGCGGGGTGGAGAGGGAGTGGCCGTGGACCTAACCCTAAGTGCGATTCTCTGAATTCTTCTAGAAGCGCTGGGTGAGGTGGAGGGACTGGCCCTACTACGCCTAGGGCTCTCATGCCGAACATGTGATCGTGCATCGGCGGTGACATTCCGCCATGAGGCGGTGGCGGAGGAGGATGAGGTTGGCCGCGGTTCCTACCCGACATCGTTTAACGAATTTCTCAAAACCTAACAACAACAACAAAATAAAAATAAATAATAGTAATAGTAATAATAATAAAGAGAATTTAGATTTTAAAGGAAATAATATCAGAAATGTGTGTATATAAGTAGTTGGAAGAAGAAATGAAACCACCTTGTGAAGAAGAGGAAAAAGGAAAAAGGATTGGGGGGAAGGGGTTTTGAATGGATGGAGTGAAGAATGAGTAACAAGTGTAGTGTAGTAGATGGAGGAGAGTGGAAATATGGAATGAATAGAAGATGCTGCTTTGCTTGTTGCAGCCAGCCAGCACACCCACTCCCTTGAGAATTGAGATCTCTGCTTGGGCCAAGCTAATAGTTATTGCCTATGATCATGGCTTTCAGGCTCTCTGGCCCAAAAACCACAATAAATAGCAGATTGAGTTATAATACTGTTATTTTGTAAATTTTAATTTATTTTGTATTAATTATTGTTTTCAAATAGTTTTCGTATTTTTATATTTTTATATCTCTGTTCAGTAAAATGAGATAATATTAATTGAATAAATTAATTTTAATTAAATGTAATTATATTTTGTTAATATCAATGATATTTAATAATTTTTTAATTTTATGTTAAAATATTAATTATTATAAAGGGATGAAGTGTTAATGTTCTTGTTAATTTACTTTTTATTTCATAGTAATTAATCTATTAAAAATTAAAAGTGAAAATTATATCATAAATATGACTTTCATCTAAAGTACGTATCTTCCTCCAATACAAATTTCATCTAACTCAAACTAATTTGAGCGTCGAAGTCTTTGTAGCTACACATCACCTCGGGCTTGCCAAAGCTTTGCTGGAACTCATGGCTCATTCACTCGTCAGCAACGGAGAGCAAAGGTTCTAGACAAACCTTGGACAACCTCATACTAATATACCATTGGAAAGTCAAGAGTATCCCTACATTAGTAATGAGTGGCTCACCTCAAAAGAGAAAAACCATGGTGTCATGTCCTAAATCCAAACGATATATCATTCACCTTTTATATTAGGTCAAAACATTGGTACCATATGTGCAAATTGGCAAACTCCTTCTTCCACCTTACAAGCACTACAAACATAAGAGAGATGACAGACAAAACCATCATTTGTGATTACTCCAAGGGGGAAAGAGAGACATTAATGCCCTCTATGAAAACTTCGAACACACAACTCAGAGGGAGATCCTGCACACCAACTTAGATGACTCAATCAGAGAGAAGGGAGCTCAGTGATGTTAGGAAATACACACCCCATGCCTGAAGAAACACCTTATTGAATTTATAGATCTTTTCACTTATGTGTTCCTTTCTTAGACAGTTCTTACCCAATTTAGGACTTTATCACTCACACTTGAATCAACAATATTCTCCAGTCAAGTATGAGTCATAATAGCTTTTAACTCTCCCTCAAGCAAAAGCTACTTTAAGTATTCACGAAGTTACAAACAAATAGTGGCCAAGTCTTCGCTCTACAAAATAGGTTTGGCACAACCTCTAAGCACAAACTCGAAAACCAGCCACAATCTCAAAATACATGGACCAATTATGAACACTAGAATCACATCCAACCCTAAATAAAAATGGAATATTTGCGTCCATGTTAGACACACACATAATTCGTCACTAATAAAGATATAATTATTTCATCTTTAATAGAGACGAGCACAATCTGTTGCTAATGGGGATGAATTATACCCTTCTTCAGGCAATCTCATTTGGGCAAATTAACAACAAAAAATCATATTATATATGAAAAATGTTTCGTCCCTAATTGAGATAGACAAAGTTATTTCCCTAATAAAGACAAATTAAATCCATATAGAGACAGACGAGATTTATCCTATTAGGGATGTATTTAATTTTTTTGTCCCTAACTTATTAGGGACGAGCGATTGATAGACAAATTTTGTCATGTCCTAAATTTAGTTGGAGACGAAATAAAAGAGTATATTGATAGATTTTTTTTTCATAATAGAAATAATTTTTGCAAAGTTATACACTATTTTGGACTTGTTATGACCGCTTCACTCTAAGTTAAATTTCACCTTGTTGTTATCCTAAATTAAATACAATAAGATCAATCTTGAAAAGAATAAGGGGTATCCATGTTTATAAAATTTTGAAAAACTCAATTCACCCACCATCTTGAGTTTATTGTGCATTTAAATGAAGACACTTAACTAACAAGTGGTCCCAGATCCTTGCCCTTTTCAAGAAAGCTTCACCACTTTAAATAATATGGCTTCTTTAAACAATGATTTCCATAATAACATAGTTCTAAAAATAAGCTCTATTTCTTTAATGGAATTGATTATCCTTATTGGAAAACTAGGGTGAGGTTTTTTTTTGTTTTTTGTACTTAACGATTTGGGAATTTAGAATACAAATGAGAATGGTTGCAATCCTCCAACTAATAAAGATGCTAATGACATAGATATACGCAAGCAAATCAATGAATATACAAATGAAGAGATAAAGATCGGTGGATGGGATGAAAAAGTTCAAAATCTCATTACAAAAGCTCCTAAAAGGGATGAATACTATAAAGTCTCTTTTTGCAAGACCGCAAATGATCAAGATGTGGGACATTCTTGTGGTCACCCATGAAGAAACGAATAAAGTCAAAAGATCAAAGCAAAATGCACTTATAAAGGAGTATGAAATGTTTGAGATGATTAATGGAGAATCCATACATGATCTTCAAAAATGCCTCACTCATAACTAGATTGCATTCTTTAAACATTTCCTATAGTCACTGCAATCTATGAGTCCTAAGATCTTTCCTCAGTGGCAGTTGCTACACCCTTTTAAAAGCTTTAAGAACATGAACCAGAACTTGCATAGTTGTCCCGAAAGGAATTGGGAAAAAAAGAGGAGTAACACTTAAAGCTTTAATTTCATCAAAACCAAGCAAAAATGGAGGAGATGGTGAAGAAACCTAGGAAGACATAGATGAAGATGAAATAACTTTTGTTATAAGAAAGTATGAGAGTTCTTCAAAAGGAGGAACCAACAAAGAAGACGATAAAATACCTCCAGAAAGAACAAACAAGATGGAGCCCCATAACAACAAAATACTTGCCTTGAATGTGGAAAATCGAATCACTTTGAAATGGAAGGTCCAAACCTCTGAAAGAATGAAAAGAAGGTAATCCAAGGACAAGAAGAAATCAAAGATAGCTTACCTAGCATGAGATGAAGACTCGAACATAGCTGGTGATTCAAGCAATGAGGATGCTAACCTATGTCTCATGGCTTAACTTAAGGACGTTGACTCTGAGGTATAACCTTCATACTCTACATTATCTTCTCATTCACCTTCATATGATAAACTTAGACTTGCTTTTGATTGAATTTACATATAAGCTATAGAATGGGCTAAGAAAGTTAGAGTAACAAAGAAAATGAATCCATACTTGCAAGAAAAATATGAGGCATTAACAAATGGATTTTATGTGGTTAAAAAAGAGAATGAATCATTGAAAATGCAAACTTATAGTGATATATGTGTTGAATGTCAAGAAAAGGAAAAGGCAAGTACCATTAATCATTGAGAATGAATCATTGAAAATGCAAAAACTTATTTGCTTATCGAATTTTACGGTACCTTAAAAGTACCATTGGTCAAGGAATTTTTTTCCACCCTTTTCTTCCATTCAATTTAAAGCCCTTGCAGATTCGGATTGGACTTTTTGCCCTGATAGTAAGCGCCCCATTACAGGTTTTTGTGTTTTCTTGGTGATTCTTTAATTTCTTGGAAATCTAAGAAGCAAAATATTGTTTCTCGTTCTTCTGTGGAGGCTAAATAAAGGGCGATGGCGAATGTTACCTGTGAATTGCTATGGTTATTTTCTTTACTTCGTGATCTTCAAATTTCCCATTCTTCTCCTACATATATATTTTGTGATAATCAATATGTTCTGCATATAGTTGCAAATCTGGTGTTTCACTAAAAAACAAGGCATATTGATATTGATAGTCACATTGTTATAGAGCAAATTGCAAAGGGTGTTTTGGAGACCTTCCATGTTTCTCCCTCACATCATTTGGCTAACTTACTCACCAAACCATTATTTCCAGCAGAATTTTGCACCCTTGTTAGCAAGGTGGGTGTTCACAATCTATAGAATCCATCTTGAGGGAGACTATTACATTATCTCTATAACAACCCTCACTGTTAAGATTTGAAAAATAAGGAATTAAGTACATGTTTAAGAGTTCATTATTGGATCAATGAGAATCTGACAAGTTTATCATGTAATTCATATGATAATGATTATGTGGATACAATTCATGCCTAAAAAGTTAATTAAGACCTCAATAGAAGTGTGAGTTATGTTGAGAGACACATATGTCAATTTGGTAAAGATAGAGTTATTTTGGTAATTAGCCAAAAATAGGTCCAAACTAAATTCTGACAATCCATTTAAATTATATGACAATTTTTTAATGAGAAATAAGTGTGTTTAATTTGAATTGATGATGTGTAGTAAAATTAAAAGAATTAGGTCAAAGATGAATAAAAAACAACCAATAGGAAATTGTATAGGAAGTTAAAGTCAAAGTAAGTCAAAAACTTAACAACTAGGCCTATTATTTGTCAAAGTTTTTATTCTTGCTTGCTTTTCTATATCCTACGCATGATTCTTCTATTTTCATGCTTGTTGGTCAAAATTTAATGTGTATGAAGTGTAAAGTAATAACCAATAGCAATTAAGTAACAAAAGCTTTGAAAAGTCAAAAACTGTGTGCTTTGAGATATTTTCCATGACTAGGTCGGATTTTGCTTTGCTTGGTTCCTATCTCCATGCCATTTTCTCTTATTTTCTATCATGTGTCATGGTTTGATAATAAGCATGTGAATTGAAGAACCAATTATATTCATTTGTTGATGTAAAAGTCAAAAGTTAAGGAAACTTAAACATTAAAGTCATTTTGTGAGTTTAAGTTGGTTTCTTCTCTTTTCTTTCTCACTTGTGTGCTTCCTTCTTCTTCTTTTCTTCTTGTTGGCCGAGAGCTTCATGGTGGGAAAGAGTGGGAGAGAGCTTGTGATTTAATCGTTATTTCAAGAAATTTCCAACATGAAAGATGTTGCAAATTGTCTTAGGAACCTAAACCTTTAAACTACATACCTTTGGGAGCTGATGTAGGAGAGATCTCCTACCACATAGGCAGCAACCTAGCTATTGTACTTCATGTGTTTGAGGTGTTCTTTGCTTGGTTTACGTTGTTGGGAAGCCTAAGTTCATCGATTGGAAGCTATTTAAGGTATAAAACCTCAACTTGTTCGGTTGGAAAATGATTTATAAATCTAGGTTTTTTTGTTCTTATG